TGACCTTCAAATGACCTTGAAATAGGCGTCAAGGTCAAAGTCAAGGTCATCATAAGGTAGTTCACTTAAATCCCTACAACTTTTATTCAGATCGTTTTCCTTGAAACTTCAATACTGAAGAGTTATTTGGGATGGGACACCCTGTATATAAAATGTATTAAAACTGAGATTCTTATTAGATTTTTTATTAGGATTTTATTAACCGAGATTCATTTATAATAAGAGCAAAATATGTGCTATGAAAGATTTATATATTTTATTTTATCTTTATTTAATTAATTTTAAAATTATCTGAATACAACACTGTGTATACTTTAAGGACATTTTTCTAAAAAATGTTAATTATTATACACTAAGAAAGTAAAATGAATAAAGTAAAATGAATAAGATATTCAAACAAGCTATTAATATACTGAGAAAAATTGTATTAAAATTAAACAAATATTTGTTCAAATACCATTTGATACATTTATTTAAATTAAGCGACTAATTTCTAAAATGAAATACAGAGGTTCTGAATGTAAACTTTTTTCTTGAATTTTAGAAAATAATTGCTTAATTTAATTAAATGTATTCATAGTCGTATTCAAACAAATATTTGTTTAATTTTAATACAATTTTTTCTCAGTGTACACAATATAAAATTTCTGTTTTTCAACACAAGGATATTATTTAATAAATATATTAAGAGTACAAATAAGTTTTCGCCGTTTTCTATAAAAACATAGGAATTTATTGTGAAAGAACGGTACATTACGTTTTATTCAAAATATTGTCCATCACTAGCCACTACTTTTTCCCATCTTTCATGCAGCATTCGAATACCACGTCGGAAAAACTCTTCATCTTTTGAGGCTATCCACGAATCGATCCAATTTTTAGTATCTTCATATGATGTAAAGCGCTGCTTAGACAGGCCATGTGCCATCGACCGGAACAAGTGATAATCGGAAGGGGCAATGTCTGGTGAATACCGGCGGCTGGGGTAGGACTTCCCAATTAAATGTTTCCAAATAGGTTTTGACCGGTTTTGCAACATGTGGCTGAGCGTTGTCATGTAGGAGAATAATTTTGTCGTGTCTGGAATAGTAATGGGCGCGT